TAAAATAAATTAACCCAAACTTCATGAGGACTAATCGCCAACAATAACAGACAATGCTTTTCGCGAAATTTCTTTCTTGACTTCTGTTCTGATCTGTCTTTGAGAATACAAATCTAATGTAGAATTATTGGTCAGACTGTTAATTATTAAGAAAAATATCCTGATCAGGATAGATATATATATATTTTTAAATATGAAAGAAAAATATTTACAATTGTTGCAATTCAAATTTTAACAACATATTTATAAATTATCAGAATTAAAAACAAAAACAAATTAAGGTTTGAATAAAGGACTGACAAACACAAGTCTCTTAAAACCATAAATTGAAGTCATAAATAGCTGTGTAGATTAAACAACATGACTTCAGTATGGAGGCAAGTGAATTCAAAAATGTTACAGAGGTAAACTGCATGAACAATATTATTACAAAATAAATTATCGGTTGTTGCATATACTGTAGAATACTTTATTTTCGCTATTTTCGCCAGAGGGATGATTCCGTGAAAATAAAATCCAGCGAATATACTTTTTTTACTATATTTCACATTAAACTCATCAAAAATCAGTGAAAATAAATTCCATACAAAATGCCCAAAAAGCCTTTTCCGCAAAAATTAATTCCAGCGAAAATAAAGTATTCCATAGTAATAAAATTTCATTGATTAAATTGTAGATATATATATAATCTTCAACTACTATAGAATTACAACAATCGACCAATGCTTATTGCTACAAATTGGCCTATTTAACTCAATTTAAGACAAGCAGACATTATGGCAGTACTGGGTGTTGCCCTAGGAAACGGATGTCATGCAAAATTTAACTGATTGCACTTGCAGACGGATACGTGGCGGCCTGAGTAAAAGAAGCAATGTTCCGAATGTGGGTTTTACTTGCTGCACTTGTACGAGATATTGCCAAGCATATTTATATCGAAACTGTATATTTCGAAGATGACGAGACCTAACACGACTACTGCGTACTGTGTTTAGTTGCCCGCCCGGCGATGCATAATTGCAATACAAACGTTTATATTGAACAATTATCTAATAATCCGAATAAGAATTTGCAGATAATGGGCAAAATTATGTCCTGAGCCGATTTAATTTGATTACCGTGTCTGCCGACCTTATTAATAATAGGGCAATGTGCGTTTGTATCTGTCGCCGAATAGTACTGGTACGTATTACTCGTGCGCCTACAACTTGCACAGCCATCTTGAAAGTTATATTAGGTAAATGAACATGGTCTTATCCTGAAGAAGTGGTCAATTATTTAAAAATAAAATAAAATAAGTTGTTATTTACCAGTACCACATGAATACACAAACAAAATCTCTTTAACTTACTTGCGATTCAAGCTGTTGGTAGTTTTATTGAAACTTTGTTCCCGTGATGCTTTGCGTGATACAGTTTTCAAAATGGCGGATTGGGGTGAGTCTATCAGCCACATGGTGAGATATTCTTAGTGCTAACATATCATGCATATTTTCATTGAAAAGTAAAAACATATTTGTATATTTTGTTAGATGCTGACGATTTTGACCCGGATGCCGGATTTCGAAAGCCAGCAGTAACTGATAAATGGGAAGGCGAGGACGAAGAAGACGACGTTAAGGTATGTTATTCCCAACCGCGCCGGCGTGCGCTGGGCTACATTTCCGCTTGTCTTTCATAGGTGTATCAAGTCTCTCACACTTGAACTTGTCGCGCGGTGACACACAGCTTATGAAATTAAGGCGCTAACGTTGTACTTGAGTTTTAGTATTAACATTTGAATATGTTTATTTGTTCATGTGTGAATGCACACAATCCAGCTGTTCCAGTGGCTTTTTCCACGAAATACAGATTAGACAACCATTATTCCCAATTAATATTCATACTGTACTTTATTTTTTATACTTTAGTCGCTAAATTTACTAGTTGTGTAGAAGTTAGACAGAAAAAAATTTACTGTTATCTCTCAGTTAGGAAAAGTTGACCATATTGTCTGTGTAAAATCCATTAACATTGGTATTCCTAAAAGACTGTTTATCCTAGGTCACGAACTCAAAACTTCTTTGTTGACTTCTGTTCTGGTCTGTCTTTGAGAATACACCCTCAAATGTAATGTACCACAGTATTGTTGGTTTATAGCCTGTTAATTATTAAGAACAATATCCTTATCAACAATTACATTGTACTAGTATATAATTCACTGTTAGAATTACCATACTTCGCGATCTCAACTCATTTGAAAACAAATAATTATCAAATGTTTCCTTTCAATTCACCGGATTCAAATGAAGATTTTAATTTGTATCCTTCATAATTTATGCTCTCACTTTTTATACACAGAAATTAACAAGCGAAACTACTAGTACATGTACATCTCTGCTGATCCCAAATCACATCGTACCAGTGAGAATTTCATCTAAACATTTACTTCAATCTGTTTTTCTTATGTCATGAACATAACTACATGTACAAAGTGCATGCCACAGGAAAAAGATAATGCATACATGTATATATCATACTGTAAAATTTTCTCAGTAAATGTGGATAAAATTAGAAAGCATCACTCCGTAACGTAACGTCAATGGCTTTGGGCCATGCTCAAAGTCTTGAAAGATTGATCGGTACTACCAGATTCGGCTGATGCCGGGGCGATCTTATGGAGGATTCGATTTTTTTTTAGAAAAATGTGGACCAAAAGATCGCCTGGGCAATGTTTTGGCAGATATTACGAAGCCCATATTGTCTGGAAAAATAACCCTGCGTTGATAAAAAATAGTCTCAGAAAATGTTTAGAAAAAATAATGTTTCGCGTTGACCAAATTTATATAATCATGCAAAGTATAAATTCAAAGTGTTTTAATACACTAGTGAGAGGTCGCATTTTACGTGAACAAGAACATGCACTAAGAAGGAAAAGGAAGCCAAAGTCGAAACAGGGTGCATCATAGACATGATACAACACACGCTGCGACAACTGAGTGATCAGCGGCATCATTTTGGGACGCAATTGAACTTAAAGTACCGGGTACTTCTTTGCGAAACTTGCTGCGCGGCGATGCTGACATCTAGTGTGTGTTGACTGATGTTTGACCCCAAGTCACGCACTGAACTGGCGCGTTACCTTAGCAACCTTTTTTCTTTCATGGTCCGCGCGTCGATCTAGTAAAATTGTTATTATATCGGATGGTATTGTAATTACGCAACTTGTATGCAACTCTGTACTGGCTTTGAATATATCAACGTCGTTTACTTAGTGCACTGCTTTTCTAATTACGCAAATTTGTTTACAATATTGTACCGGCTCTGAATATTTCAACTTTGTAATGTATTGCTTTCATGATAATTACGCAAATCCAAGTTATTTTTTACTTTTGTTAGGGCGCTGACCCGGGGTATTGGGTTTGTGAATATTTCAATATTACCGACTTGATAATGCATTGCATTCATAATAATTACATAAACATGGGCGCATTTAAATCATTAAAAGGGATAGAAGTCAGGTATCTACGGAAAGTCGACGGAGAAAATATTTTAAATACTTGTGATTCATCGATGTTCCAATGGTGAATTATTTTATTCGAAATGAAGTGGACATGTCATATAAACCATACTATGCGTCAAGTTAAATTTCACTATAATATAATAAACTCAGGACAGCGCACTTCGATCGCAATATTCACGTACATTTAGTCTGAACTCTAATAACCACGCGTTTGAATTACGTGTGGCATTGGGCAATGACCTCCAGAGTTCACGCACTGATATTTAAATTCGGGCCATCCAGCTTGACGCAAATCAATATAGTTACTTGTCATTTGTTAAAAAAATCTTTCAACTCTCACAGACGCATGAACGCAAAGAGTTAACTGGGGGTTAACTGTAAGGGAACATCTTTTTTGGAAAAAAAACATGTCAATACAAGATTCCGTGTGCAAGGTTAGATTTATAGAACGTACACGACCACTGAACTGTGTTTTTTTAATAATCATGTCGCATGTGAAATGCAGGAGACATTTTAGTTTGCCCATTTCTTGTTTACCGACATTTTGTCTGGAATGCAATACAGACAAAGATTAAACATTACTGATAACTACCAAGGGGCTCGAATCAGGAAGGCTTGGCTATTTTAAACTTCGTAAATAACATTCTTTTCAAGCGTAGACTTTATTCGAGTCTAATAAACATAAATGAAATGTATTTTAACGAGTAATTATACGCAACAACAATTTGTATACAGCATCTGTTTTATTGGAGTTTCATGCTTTTCGACTTCACAGTGATTTATTGTTAGTGTCATATTTGAAATAGCGCGCTCGATACAAGATGTCGAACAGGAAAATTGGGTTTGTAAAAATGTTTGTAGGTTCAGTCAGGCAATGTGTGGATCAAAACATCGCCCACTATTTGAAACATTGCCCATGGGCGGGGTTTAGTATGGGCGGGGTATCAGTCGAATCCGGTATATAATATATGGATGCCAAGTCTTTGATTGGATAACTGTGTTAGTATGTCTCGTCAGATCAACAACTCTCAATTGCTTAATTTTGAATATCTGATTGCATCTAAATTAATCAAATAACTAACTTGTATTATACGTTTTTTTGGGGGAAAACAAAAGTACTAAGTATTTTGATTATCTAGCTTGTGCATAACACGGTCAGTGTTATTTTCTGTCAGGTTTGCGTACTTTCTACAAAGCTGCATTAGAACAGTGCTGTCATCAAGTGTGTGAAATTTTTACTAAACCTGCCAATTCTACATGTAGATCATACAGTCAAACTTGTGTTAACGGCCACCAGCACAGTCTATTGATGGCCTGGGAACATGATTAAAACTGATAAAAACATGCTGTCATTAATAATTTGTTGAAATATGCATACCACAGGAATAGGCAAGAGTTCTTTTTGTACCCCCTTATCCCTAACCCTAACTCTAACACTCACTCCCAGTTACCTAATTCATTTGTATATGCCCCCTCTAGATAACTATAGATGTCCTTAGGAGGGGAATGTACAATTAAATGGAGAGTGCTGGATGGTGGGGTTAGGGTAGGGTTAAGGATGGGGGGTACAAAAGGAACTCTTCCCACAATTATTTTTATTATCGTACTGCAGTTTGTAAAAAGTTTTAGTTGGAATAGACAGTTACTGTTGGGTTTATTTTTTTCAAAATCAACATTCTACAAAAATTCGAAAATACTAAGCAAGCAATGATATCAAAATTATTAGAATATGGCAAGAAGCTGCACTGGCTTGAATTATGGTAATTCCCTTAATATGGATCAGGAATAAAAGTAGTTAATCTGTTGTCAAGGCAACCAACTTGCAATCCAAGCTCAGTTGTATTTTAATGTCTGTCATGTACATGTAGGTACAAACTTTCCACATTAATACTGATAACCTTTCTTAATGTCTGCTTTTTAGGATGCTTGGGACCTATCATCTGAGGAAGATGATGCAAAAGATGATTCTGGTGGTATGTATTGCTTATAATAATTTGTAGATTAGATATCTAAAATTTCTGGCGCTTTTTGGCTAATCACACTCTTTTCATTTGGAAATGGCTGAAATTTAAGATCATAAATCCATGGCCTAAGCTAGTTTTGGGAGAACTGATCTCCTGATCTGATATGTATGTATGAATCAATTCAAGCTTTAAGAAAACCTGAATGCAAGTATCTACAAAATGTTCACTGCAAATAAATAGCAATTTAATGACACGTGGGGACACATGCACATGTCAACCATTTATAGAAGTTTTCCTCACTGTGAATCAACTAAATTAAAAATAGTAATATCTGGCACACATACTCACCTAGTAAACACGACAGTCCTTTCTTGGTGTTCAAGCTCAGCCTATGAACCCAGGACATTTTCAATTGTGGCATATCATATACATGTATGCCCTATTCAAATTTTGTAAATCATTTGCAAGTGAAAAAATGGCAGCAGCCTTGCACCTATATGGGCGAAATGCCAAACAAGTCGCCATCTTGTGAGGCTGAGCCTCTCACTGATGATTTATGTGTCATTTTCCATTAGAAGTAAAAGCTGTTGAGGTAAAGAAAAAGAAGCCATTGAAAGACAGAATAAAAGAAAAAGAAGAAAAAAGAAGAAAAGAAATTGAAGAAAGAAAAGCTGCTGAAGAAGAGGTAATACCATGTCTGTGAGAGTTACTGGTACCTCACTGCCACATTCTGTGAGAGTTACTGGTACTTCACTGCCACTTTCTGTGAGGGTATCTGGTACCTCACTGCCACATTCTGCGAGGGTAACTGGTACCTCACTGCCACATTCTGTGAGGGTAACTGGTACCTCACTGCAACATTCTATGAGGTAACTGGTACCTCACTGCCACCTTCTGTGAGGGTAACTGTTACCTCACTAGCGCATTCTGTGAGGGTAACTGGTACCTCACTACCACATTCTGTGACGGTAACTGGTACTTCACTGCCACATTCTGTGAGGGTAACTGGTACCTCACTGCCACATTCTGAGCAGATAACTGGTACCTCACCACCACATTCTAAGCAGATAACTGGTACCTCACTGCCACATTCTGTGAGGGTAACTGGTACCTCACTGCCACATTCTGAGCAGATAACTCGTACCTCACTGCCACATTCTAAGCAGATAACTGGTACCTCACCACCACATTCTAAGCAGATAACTGGTACCTCACTGCCACATTCTGTGAGGGTAACTGGTACCTCACTGCCACATTCTGAGCAGATAACTGGTACCTCACTGACACATTCTGTGAGGGTAACTGGTTCCTCACTACCACATTCTGAGCAGATAACTGGTACCTCACTGCCACATTCTGTGAGGGTAACTGGTACCTCACTGCCATATTCTGCAAGGGTAACTGGTACCTCACTAGCCCATTCTGTGAGGGTAACTGGTACCTCACTGCCACATTCTGAGCAGATAACTGGTACCTCACTAGCCCATTCTGTGAGGGTAACTGGTACCTCACTACCACATTCTGCGATCAACTGTGTACTACATAATCAGTCATTTGTATTGTGGTCGATGAAGTCTGTTGAAGTGCTGACATCTATTGCCACGGAACTTTTAACAATCACTATGTCTATTTCGATTTTTTCCAAGTGAATCACAGTCACAAAATGATAGCCGTGTGTAAGTGAATTGACATACGGGTCACAGTGAGGAAAAGTGCATGAATGGAGGTGTTTGATTGGATAAAAAAAATAATTGAGAGCGAAACACAGCAAAAACTCAGAGTGTGATTTGAGTTATCGTGATGGTCAAAATTACACCATCACATTAAAAAATGCATGGTCGCAAAATATTGACAGCCCACTTTTTATGCAGTTCAAATTGCAACTGGTACCTCACTGCCACATTCTGTGAGGGTAACTGGTACCTCACTGCAACATTCTATGAGGTAACTGGTACCTCACTGCCACCTTCTGTGAGGGTAACTGTTACCTCACTAGCGCATTCTGTGAGGGTAACTGGTACCTCACTACCACATTCTGTGATGGTAACTGGTACTTCACTGCCACATTCTGTGAGGGTAACTGGTACCTCACTAGCCCATTCTGTGAAGGTAACTGGTACCTCACTAGCCCATTCTGTGAGGGTAACTGGTACCTCACTAGCCCATTCTGTGAGGGTAACTGGTACCTCACTGCCACATTCTGAGCAGATAACTGGTACCTCACTACCACATTCTGTGACGGTAACTGGTACCTCACTGCCACATTCTGTGAGGGTAACTGGTACCTCACTGCCACATTCTGTGAGGGTAACTGGTACCTCACTACCACATTCTGTGAGGGTAACTGGTACCTCACTAGCACATTCTGTGAGAGTTACTGGTACCTCACTGCCATATTCTGAGCAGATAACTGGTACCTCACTAGCACATTCTGTGAGAGTTACTGGTACCTCACTGCCACATTCTGAGCAGATAACTGGTACCTCACTAGCCCATTCTGTGAGGGTAACTGGTACCTCACTGCCACATTCTGAGCAGATAACTGGTACCTCACCACCACATTCTAAGCAGATAACTGGTACCTCACCACCACATTCTAAGCAGATAACTGGTACCTCACTGCCACATTCTGTGAGGGTAACTGGTACCTCACTGCCACATTCTGAGCATATAACTGGTACCTCACTGACACATTCTGTGAGGGTAACTGGTTCCTCACTACCACATTCTGAGCAGATAACTGGTACCTCACTGCCACATTCTGTGAGGGTAACTGGTACCTCACTAGCCCATTCTGTGAGGGTAACTGGTACCTCACTGCCACATTCTGAGCAGATAACTGGTACCTCACTAGCCCATTCTGTGAGGGTAACTGGTACCTCACTACCACATTCTGCGATCAACTGTGTACTACATAATCAGTCATTTGTATTGTGGTCGATGAAGTCTGTTGAAGTGCTGACATCTATTGCCACGGAACTTTTAACAATTACTATGTCTATTTCGATTTTTTCCAAGTGAATCACAGTCACAAAATGATAGCCGTGTGTAAGTGAATTGACATACGGGTCACAGTGAGGAAAAGTGCATGAATGGAGGTGTTTGATTGGATAAAAAAAATAATTGAGAGCGAAACACAGCAAAAACTCAGAGTGTGATTTGAGTTATCGTGATAGTCAAAATTACACCATCACATTAAAAAATGCATGGTCGCAAAATATTGACAGCCCACTTTTTATGCAGTTCAAATTGCAAGAAAAAGATCACAGAAGTGTGAAGTCGTCATTCATCACAAAACAACCTCTTACATAACATAAATTACATGGCCTCAACAAAGCGTTTCTCAGATTCTCAAAACATTTGAAAAACTTACCCGACGTTTTTCTTTTTTAAAAGCTGACGTGGTGAACATGGTGTGCCAGGTTTATTTTTTAGGCACTTGCTTTAAACCCAAGCTGTTCTTTCATAAATGAGAATAGATGTTTGGTATAAGACTGTCCATCCCAACTTTTTCCCATTGATTTTACAGCTTTCGTCTACTAATGTCACAGCTTTGGATCGTTTGAAAAGGTGGAAATTCTCACACTATTAATATTCGCATTGCCAAAACTGCCAAAACATTTCAATAAATCACAGACAAAAAATATATATCGTATCGTTAAATTATGCAGTATTATACAAGTATAGCGTAACTGTATGGCTTCTCGTATTTTGGCATTTGATGGCGGCACCCTTTTACTTCAGATAGAATAGGTTTGCGTGGCTACAACCCAGGAAATATGTCAAATTTACTCGAACACAGGGCATCATTTTCAATCAAAAAATCAATAACTGGAACACAAGTCCAAAATAGGAAATGTGTGGGTGGACATTTCACATGCACTTTAACAAAGAAAAGTAGTTAATGTGAAGTCAATAATCATGAAAACATCAACGTTGGTGATGTAAATTACCTGGCCCATACAAGGGAAAACGATTGAAATGAATGCAGATTTTTATGAACATGGTAAATTGTTTTGTGCACAAGGTGTATAAAAATTGAACTTGTGAATTGTTTCTTAGTTATTTGATATAAAACTCTTGCTTATATCAGTCCCATCTTACCAAATCATTATGTGAATTTTCTCTATTTTCAAAGGCAAAAAAAAAACTTACACCAGAAGAAATCGCAGCAGAAAAATTAAGGCAACAAAAAGTAGTAGAAGATGCTGATTTAGAACTAGCTAAGGAAGCATTTGGTAAGCATGTTATTCATTTGCTAGCATTGGATTTGTTTGCTTCATGAATATCAAAGTTAAATATGTTTATTGTTTACATTTGATACTACAAACTTGTGTATAGCAGCAACCCACCCAAGCTACTTCATAGAAATTGTCTTTATAGAGATTTTTAGTCCATGCTCGGACGCCATCCGAAAACGGGGACTTGTGTTTTGACCTCCGTACGTGCGTCCGGACCTGTATCTTAGTAATGCCTGGACCAATTACAATCAAACTCCACACATACATCATACATGGTATTATACATATGCACGTCAATTTGTTTCATGATCTGATTCAAGATGAAATCAAGTCAATTTCTCGGCTGTTTACAGATAGATTCTGTTCAAACTTGGTATATACATGTACATTAGACATTATAGGACCTTGATGCACATCATTTTGTTTTATGATCTGATTCAAGATGGTCGAATGGCGGTCATTTTTGTGCTAAAAAATCCTAAAAATCAAGTATTTCTCGGCTGTTTACAGATGGATTTCGTTCAAACTTGGTACATACATTAGACATTATGGGTTCCTGATGCACGTCATTTTATTTTTCAGATTGGATTCAAAATGGCTGACTGGCGGTCATTTTGTTTTAATGATTGGGCTTCTAGAGCCATATCTCTTAAATGCTTTGACTGATTATATTCAAATTTTGTATATTTGTATACATCATGTTATATATATATATACATGTATTAAAAATGGCTGATTTTGAATGCTGTTCCAGAGCAATATCTCTCAATATGAACAAGTACCGTTAAAATACTAGTATAAACCGCATATCTAATAGTAACCGCACCCCCGATTTCGGCTTCAGTGTTAAAGAGTTCTCAACAAAAATGGAGAACATGAAAAGAACCTATTACTAACCGCACCCCCAATTCAACAAGATCGTGACTGACTTTGTTTCAACCAGCTGGTACATTGTTCCTAATCCTATTCATTTGTTTCGACAACGTGCCTAAAAATATTCACACCTCCTTATTGTTCAGTGTTAGGATGTCAAACACGCAGTGAAACTGCTTTTGTTCTTGCGACAACTTTTGTCAATACTCCTTATGACCTTATGAATACGCCCGTGTGTCGCAAGTTTTCGACAATGAGCTGTTATCACCAAAAAACTGTTAAATTCTTTTTCAATGCTCAGTTTATCTTTCGAAAACAACTAATTTCTTGATTTAAAAAAAAAAAGTCATGTCGTTTTTCCATGGAAATCAAAGCCAAAAGATTGCACTACATTATCAGTAAATCCCTTCCGGGTTTCGTTCACCATGAAGTCGGTGACCTGTCATTAACATATTTAAATGAACTAATGTAATTTGAACACGTGGGCACCATCCAGCATTTTGATTGGTTAATTAGCGACTTGACCTTCCCGGTCAAGTAAAGTCTCGTGCGCATTCAAACTACATGGCGGATGTCGCATCAATCGTTTACATGTGACCGAAATAATTCGCTTACGGTGAAACTAAGTTGAATTTTATTTGCATTTGATAACAATTCAACGAATTTATTTTTCGTGCGTCACTACTGAGTAATAATCAACAATTTCAACACTTCGAAAACAAGTAAGTTATTTACTTGTGAGCCGAAGCATGTACCATACTTTTTTTAGTGTCGTACCATCATCATTTTCTACTAAGCAATGCATTAATGTTTGTTTTTATTTGAAACTCCTGTCAGAATATACTTTCAGTTATGAAGAAAATTAAAAAAATAAATGCATATTACATTAAATATACTGAGTATTTTTTTTTCATGTAAACAGTTTTTTTGTGACATGACGTTTATCACTCTTCCCTGACATTCCCCGAGTTACGCTTACATTCAAAAGATTGTACGGTGTATTGTTTGTTTTGTGCAAGTGATGTGGGGAAAAAATGACGCCCATTTAGTGATTGCAATATGTACGTAATAGAAACCGCATCCCGAACTTGAGCTATTGATCCCAATTTTTTATTTGATACATTGTAATATAAACCGCTGTTTATGATAGGATTTTAACGATACTTGTTTGACGATCAGATACAAATGTCAATCATTTTAATGTTAAAAAACCATATTCCTGACATGGCTATATTACTATAAACAAAACTATGCCATGCATGGCTTATTTTTAGCTCCGCTGTCGACTTTGTCGAGTGGAACTTATCATATGAGTGATTGTCCATCGTCCGTGTCAATGTTTTACTTTTTCGACTTCTTCTTGAAAACTACAAGCCTGAATGCTTTGATACTTGATGTATATGTACCTTGGGTAGACCTCTCTTAGGTTTGTTCATTTCATGTTGATATCTTCAATTCTCTAATTTTGGTGAATATTTTTGTCATTTTTGGTAAAAAGTGATATTTTCGACTTCTTGTTAAAAACCGCAAGTGCAATTGCTTTGATATTACATATATAGGTACTACATGTGGACCTCTCTCAGATTTGTTCATTTTGTAATGATATCTTTAATTCTCTAATTTTGGTGAATATTTTTGTAATTTTTGGTAAAAAGTGATATTTTCGACTTCTTGTTAAAAACCAAAAGTTCAATTGCTTTGATATTACATATATAGATACTACATGTAGACCTTTCTCAGATTTGTTCATTTGTGATGATATCTTCAGTTCTCTAATTTTGGTGAATATTTTTGTCATTTTTGGTAAAAAGTGATATTTTCGACTTCTTGTTGAAAACTGTAAGTCCGATTGCTTTGATATTACATATATAGGTACTACATGTGGACCTCTCTCAGATTTGTTTGTTTTGTGATGATATCTTCAATTCTCTATTTATTTTGGTGAATATTTTTGTAATTTTTGGTAAAAAGTGATATTTTCGACTTCTTGTTAAAAACTGTAAGTCCGATTGCTTTGATACTATTCATATTGTTCATTTTCTAATGATGTCTTCAGTTCTTTAATTGAAATGTGCATTGCTAACAGCGGAGCTATCTCAGCTGATAGGCTGCTTGTTATTATTATTGATTCACCAAATCGTATATTTGAGATATTTGTCCATAATAATGATATGGTACTAGGTTGATGTTTATGTGTGGAAACCTTGAGAGGAGTAAATACTATTATGTTTTGGTTCTATGGTAGATAAAATATATCATAACATTTATTAATAATTTGCTCTTATCAATCTAATTTCTCTCTAGGAATTACAGAAAATGATAACCGAAAAACAATAGATTCCATGAACCCATCAAATCATGAAGAATTCGAAGAATTTTGCAAATTAGTTACTGAAAAATTACTCGGATATGAAAAAACGCCTTATTATGTTCCATTCCTTGAAAACCTCTTCAGAGATTGCTGTGCTGGCTGTAAGTACTTCATCCGCATTCGGAGTCATATTTCAGAACCAAATTTGTTCATTCTTTGCAGGTACCTAGTCAGTGTTTTCCCCTGGCCTCTGAAGGAGACAGAGTATTAATAATTTGCCAATTGCACGTAATAGCAACAATGTGACAAAAAATCTCACAAATCACAAACTCAGCTTACGTCAGGAAGATCTATACCAATTTGCTGCACTGCAGTTATTGGCAGTTTTTTACTACTGTATTGCCAGTGACACTGATTACCAAAAGTTAAATTAAGTCGCTTCGGAAAGAAAACTGAATAAATCAAAGTAAAGACAAGACGGCCAAAAAAAAAACGAACCCTGTCCTCTAGAAATACCTTGTTCATAGAGTGCCTTAGTACTGAAGAACCCTGCCCTAAGGTGACATCATGCACATTGTGACATGGCGACCGATGCATGCTGGGTTACAAAGGGGATTCTGATTGAGGTAACAATGATGATTAGTACATCTCATTGGTAATTTTGATGTAATGTCTAAGATATTCGTCAATGAATAATTTTAATTAACAAAACATTTCCAATTTGTGTATCTATACACCAAAAAAAATATGTTGATGATCGCATAAGCAGCAGTGAATACCCATTCAATGCAATACTGTCGGTTGTCAATGTTACGGTGATCGTAGCACTACGCATAAGGTATAGATCAATGAAAAATCACTGACTTTAGTTTTGAAATGTCGTTGTAGAAAAAAAATATTGTCATAATTTATTCTTATTTTGATAACCCGCAATCTTGCATACTTAACTTTAACCAAATGATATTTTCCCAACATCATGTGACATGGGCACAAAACTGACTATACTTTTTGTAAGCAAAATAATGATAAATCAGTTACCTCTCCAGATAATAGTTTATTTACTATCTGGTTATAACATAAGTATTTCCATTGCTTTTTTTTGGCTGTTCTATTTCTAATTGATACATAAAATACAAGGAGTTAATAATATAAAATACATGTACATCAGACTATCTTGTCTTTAATTATTTGCAAATAGGTTGTAACAGTTATTTTATCACAATGTTTGTTGGAGGAACTGATTATTATGCAAATAACATTATGCAAATCAGATATATTGTTAGGCAAATTAGCCATGTTTGACATGGGGTCTGGGCAAAAAACCGAGTACTTTATGTACATAAATTTTGTATGTGCATGTAGTGATTTGATTCATGACAGACGAGCAGCATTTTGTTTTTGGAAAATGTGGTATTTTTAAACGTGCTTTGTCAGATTTTGTTTAAATTTTATTCATACATTATATGGCACATGAGGTTTTGTTTCATAATCACACTAAAGATGACTGACTGGCAGCCATGTAGTTTTTTCAGTCCCCATTCTGACACCATACGAAAATGAGGACTTGTGGATTGATATCTGTACATGCGTCCATCCAGTTCTATATCTTAAACATCCCTGAACCGATTACATTCAAACTTTACACATGCACATCAATCTAATTCAACATGGCCGAATGGTGGCCATTTTTGTGCTAAAAAAATCATCGAAATCAAGCATTTCGTTCAAACTTAGTACAAATAAAACACATTTTTTACAAGATGAGTTAACGTATACCAGGAGTGTCTGTAACAAGTGATCATTGGATATGTTAGCTTATCATATTTGCTCAATTAGTAGCACATGAGATTTTTCTATGGTAAAAATAAGTAATTTTTTAATGATTCAGTATAGAACAAAATTAATGTAATTTTTGTTTTTTATGGATTCTATTGGAGTTGTTGCATTTCTAATAGAGCAAATATGGTATTTGCCTTTAACCATATTCAGATGTAAATCTAATTATTTGCATAATTAATTTTTTACCAGTAGAGGCAGAGGATGTGAAAAGATTGGGTAGTACATTAAACGTTCTTTCAAGTGAAAAAGCAAAAGCAAATAAGGTGAGGCTGGTTCAATCCAAGCTGATTCTACCCTATCCAGGTGTCTGGAGTCTTTGTTAGTCCCCGTTCGGACGCAGTCCGAAAACGGGGACTTATGTTTTGCCCTGTGTGCGTCCGTCCGTGCGTCCGTCCGTCCGTGATCACCTGCATCTCGAACATGCATGGACCGATTAAGTTCAAACTTCACTCATACATCACACATTATATGGGACATATGCACATGCATTTTTTTCATGATCCGATTAACGATAGCCGAATAGAGGCCATTTTAAGGCAGAAAATGAATCAAAATCGCACATTTTAACCATTCCGGACCCGGATCTCAGTTATGCATGGACGGATTTTGTTCAAATTTGGTACATACATGTACATTAAACATAATAGGACCTTGATGCACGTCGTTTTTTTTTTTGGGATCGGGTTCGAAATGGCCGACTGGCGGCCATTTTGTTTTAAAGAATTCAGTTCTGGATCCGTATCTGAGACATGCTTGGATTGATCGAGTTCAAACTTCACACACACAAGGTACATCATGTCACAAATATGTATGTGCATTTGTTTCATGATCTCATTAACGATAGCCAAATGGGGGCCGCTTTAAGGCCGAAAATGCATTGAAATCGCACATTTTCACCATTCCGGACCCGTATCTCAGTTATGCCTGGATGGATTTTGTTCAAATTTGGTACATACATTAAACATAATAGGACCTTGATGCACGTCTTTTTTTTTTTCGGATCAAGTTCGAAATGGCCGACTGGCGGCCATTTTGTTAAAGAATTCCGTTCTGGATCCGTATCCAAGACATGTCTGGATTGATCAAGTTCAAACTTCACACACACATGGTACATCATGTCACAAATAGATATGTGCATTTGTTTCATGATCTGCTTAACAATAGCGGAATGATGGCCATTTTAAGGCCGAAAATGCATCAAAATCACGTATTTTCACAATTCCAGAACCGGATCTCAGTCATGTATGGATGGATTTTGTTCAGATTTAGCACAATGTGTTGTACATATGCAGGTGCATTTCGGTCATGATCTGCTTTGAATGTATATGTCACTCAAATATGAACGGAACGGGGATGTGTCATTGACAATGACTTGTTAGTAAAAGTTGTATTTACATTGGTTACATGAGATGGGCCAATTGTTTTATAGGTAAAATCAAATTTTCCGCAAGTGTATTACAAGCTTCATTATTGTGGTTCATGTTGTGCATCTCAAATAGCAGACAAATATTAGTTTTTCTTCTTGCTTGAAAGGCCAATTTTAAAATACATGTATGACGATCATGCATTATATTTTTAAAATTCAAACAAAAATAACCTATGAATGAAAGCATCAAATTTTGTATAAGAAAATAGATATTCTGGTTGATTACAGGCCAAAGGGAAAACGAAAAAGAAGAAAGGACCAGCACCAGGTGGATTAAAAGCTTCCAAACGTGATGAATTGGAAGACTACTCACAATTTGGAGATGAATACGAGGATTTCATGTGACCCAAGCTAAACTGTTATTCTTGCATGTATTTCTTCTTTTAACATGACTGGTCTAAATTCAAAATCTTCATATGCATAAAATTATAGTTAGTTGCCAAGTGCACCCCCCCCCCCAAAAAAAAATGACTAGTGGTTCTTTAAATTAGAAAAGCTTGAAACTATAGCAAATTTCACGTCTTGAAATGGCCAGGCAGATTTTCTTTAGTCAATAGAATGTTACTGATCATCACATTTCATGATTAAAAAATTCTAGTTCTTTGATTCCACGTATCATGAACAAAACAGTTAATTTAAGGTTATGTACAGTTATACATCAACTGATTATGTATTATTATAAGAAATAAAATCCTGATAAGCTTTATTTGTGTCGTCCATGTTTTACTTTTGCGACTTCTTGAAAACTACAAGCCTAATGTTTTGATAGTTGGTGTATATGTAACTTGGGTAGGCCTCTTAGATTTGTTCATTTCATGATATCTTTGGTAAATAACTGCAAGTCTGATTGCTTTGATATTATACATATTTTCAATTTAATACATTCAAGAACATTACTAAGATAATCGTTACTTTCCTAAAACATATTATTCAGCAACTCGGCATAAAACTCTCGTTTCCAGGTGAACTGAAATGCATGCGAGACTGTAATCGCAATTTGTCGGGGATTAGACCGATTGCCAGTCTGTTTATTAGTTGTCTGAGATTCCCGCTCCGCTCCGCCCAAATATAAACTAAATGGGTGTGCAAAAATGGTAAGTATGATTGTCTTGCAGTGGAAATCCATTTTCTCTAGTTACTTGGTTATAAATCAAGACTTACCGGTAGTAACTTTTAGAGATTTTCCAAATAATAAAACAATTTTTTTTCCCCCTTGTTAGTAACTTAAATGGGTTTATATTTTGATGCTGTCTGTTGTATAGAATCATTCGGGAATAACTGACAGATGGTGCAATGGAACCCAACCACAGACATTGTGCTGCATTATACTGGAAAAGCCAAAGTAACTTCAAACATGGTATATATTGCACATATTTAATGGAATATCTTTATAAAGTATGTACATGTCAAAGTCAGCAAAAGAAACAATTGGATTCGCTAGCCTGTCTCTCACATTTTTATGGAAAAATAATAGTTGTGCCTCAATGCGGTACAGTTCAGTATTGTGGCAGTTTCTTTCAAATAAATTCCAAGACCACAGGCAATGGAACAAAAACATTGATTTAAGCTACCAGAGTTGGAGTAACTACAGCACAGAGAGAGTCAACTGACTGGTGATTCATAACACTATGCATGCTGTCTAATTAGATAAACATTGCCCTGGAATGTTTTATTTCATTCTTGCAGGCTACATTACATGCCTATGATGGTTGCCTCAGGGTTTCCAATTTTAAAACAAACTGTGTAAAGAATTATAGTACAATGTAGCTTGTCATCATGAGGTGTAAGAACTAAAACAAAG